AGGGGCAGGGTACCTGGCTCCTCCCAGCCCCACCCCATCCCCAGGGTCCTCTCCAATCCGCAGCCGGCACGAGGGTGACCACCTGCTCCCTCGCACAGGTGCCTGGACTCTAAGCCTTATTGACTCTATGAGCAAAGCTCTTCCCATGGCGGGATTTCAGGTGCGGAAATAGGGGATCGTTTGGGGTCTGTCTCCCTGTCTGGGCTTGGAAGCAGTTATGAGATAGGGATTGGGGGTGAACCAGATTTCTGAAAGTTGAGCTGAACTGGGCGCTGGGGCGGGTGTAGGAGAAGGACCCTCAAACCCAGGAAAGAATGGAGGGCTTTCGGGCACGCACCCTGGTGCCCTCAGGGAGGGTGGGTGACTTGTCAGCACGCGGTAGAGCCACAGCCAGCCAGAGGGGCGACCAGGAAAGTAGGCCCACACCTCCTTGCTTTCGTTCTGTGCCCTGCACTTCTGGACGGCCTCACTGGGGCCAGTCTGTAGCAGGGACAAACTACAGACTTCCTCTTCTCAGCCCGCTTGCCCCAGTGACCGTTTCCCCAAAGCTGTGCAGTCAGACAGCCTGGGGGAGCCAGGGAAAGTCCACACGCCCACTTGGTGAAACCAGGCACAGGATGTCCTAGCCCCCCTCCCCCACAGCGCCTGCCAGGGTTGCAGCCCCTCTCCTGGAAGGACGGCCACAGACTTGCCAAGTGACAGTCATGTGCCGTCTGGAAGCGAGAAATACCCGTTAGTGAGGCTTCTAATCAGTCTCTTTCCCGGCCGGGTTTGGCTGCCCTGCCACTGGGAGGTGGCCACCAGCTGCATTAGGTTGGGGGAGCAGCCAGTCCCAGGCAGGAGACACAGCTCTTCTCCCTGCGGGGACTGGTGACACCTCTCCTGGGCTCCCTGGCCAGCCTCCGAGGAGAAGCCTCTTATATCCATTTCACAGATGAGGAAGGCAAGGCTCCCACGGGCCAGTCCCCTGCCCCTGCCCCGGGACACAGGCTTTCCTGCCCTGCTCCTGGCAGCAGTGGGTCTCAGGTGCCAGCCGCCTCTGATGGAGGCTCCCAGACCCACCCAAGGGACAGGATTTCCACGCTGCTTGGCCAGGGTGTCTGCAATATCTTCCCTGCTTGGGCCAGCCCCGCACCCAGGGAGACCAGTTCTCATTGGCCCCCAAAGCGGTCAGGGCGCAGGTGCACGCTGCCCGGACCTCCCCCTCGCACCTTGGCTCGGGAAGTGAGACAGCAAGAGTGTGAGTGTGTGTGCAGGTGGGAGTGAGGGTGTGTGCACATTCGTGTGTGTGAGTGCCTGTGCGTGTGTGTGGGAGCTCCTTTCTGTGAAAGAGGTCAGGCTACCCCAGCTGCCTTCTCCCACAGGCAAGGCCTTTTTCCTCTCTAAAACGGAACTTTTAACAAGCGCCCCATCCAGACACGCATTGTCAACCTCCTCCCCACCAGCCTCCCCTGAGCCCACGGGACTGCACTGAGTCCCTCTGGGCCCTGCAGGGTTCCTGCAGCCCCTTCCCCACCGCACATCCTGCCTGCCTGGGCTGGGGTCTCTGAGGCAGGGGTCCCTTTGGACCCTTGGCCAACCCCCATACCCTGAGCCCTTCCTGTACCAAGCCCCCTGTCAACACTCAGGCAGGGGTGTCAGTGAATCCACCAACAACGCCAGGAGGCAGGCTCATTGAGGGCCCCCACTGCAGACGGGGGAGGCCAAGGCCCAGGACCAGGGCAGTGTGGTGGGGACTCCACTGAGGGAGGCCCAAGCCCATGGCACTGTGCTCTCAGCCACACACCCTGCGACACCACGGTGGAGGGGGTTCCACCAGGGTGGTGCCCACCAACCTCACCTCACCCAGCCTGGCATTCCTGGCTACAACAGAGCCGCAGTGGATGGGTGGGTCCACAGTGACTGTGAACGGACTCAGTTCTCAATGCTTTGCGGGGAGCGGGCCCTGGGGAGGGGAGTGGTGAGGCCTTGGAGACATTTCCTGGAGCCTTAATAACAAGCATCCCTGGGATGCGTCAGGTCTCCACCCCAGCTGCCTGGGAAACTTCCAGGCCCGCCGTGGCGACACTCCCGGGGGACTGCCAGGGAGACCTCTCAGCCTGGGCAGGCAGAAGGGACTCACCCAGCGGTGACCCAGCGGTGACGCATCGTCCAGAGAGCAAAAATCCACCTCCAGAGAAGTCCCCTTCCCTGACTCCCCTTCAGCCCCCGCCCCCAGGCCCACACTCCCCTCATCAGGGGATGGGGCTCCAGGGGCCGGCAGAGGGACATCCTGTGTCCCGTGCCTCTCCCACATGCCTGGGCTGAAGCAGGCCACCACTAAGCAACGGCCGAGGTGCCAGGGCTGTGCCTGGGGAGGGCAAGCCCCTCCCAGATGGCCTCGCTGCCCCCACTGCCAGGGCAGAGCCAAAGGCTACAGTGACTCCCACCAGTGTCCCAAGCAGACTGTGCAGAACAGTCGGTCTTGGGGAAGGTGGGATGTGACCGCTCCACTCCTCTCCCAGCTGCGAGTTCAGTTCAGCCTCTGTCCTTCCCCGTCCAAACAATCTCCCTGCCCCAGATCCGCACTGGGATCCTCAGCAGTCCAGATGGGAAACAGATGTCTCTGGTCCCACACACTGGCTCCAGGGGCCATTTTAAAAGTTTGCCCTCCCTGCCTCAACTTGAGAAACACTCGGTCCACTGGGACATCAGCCGAGTCTTCCACGAGAAGGGGGTGACAGCCTGGGGGGACACGGGGAGGGGCTTGCAGTGTCTGCCCAGGGGCGTGGCCACGGGGAGGCCACGGTCATGGACACCCACTCCAGTCCTTCCAGGCCAAGAAGGGATTTCCACCCCTTCCCCAATTCCAACACTGACAGGAAATGGAAACAAAAGGCGAAAGCCCATCAGTCACTTCCCAGCAGCAAAGACTGCGGTCAGGAGAAAGCCATTCTCAGCAGGAGACCCTCCTCCACCCACGTTGGCACCCAAAGATGGGGGCCCCTCTTTCCAAAGCAGCGGCCCCACTCCCAGACCCTGCCATCCACTCCAGGCCCCTGGTGCCACTCTCTTCCTTGTGCCAACTCAGAACCGCGGGACCCCACTCCTGCAAGGCCTCCAGAGCCCTTCTGGGAGGAGGCCTAGGCTGGAACATGTCTGGGTGAGGAGAGGGAGATCGGCCCCCAGGCAGGACAGCCAGGGTGCGCGCACCCCAGCTTTTGGGCCACCCCAGCGGTGACGTCCTTTTAGGCGCGACCCCCGGGAAGGTCCCGGGTGGTGACAGCAGACTGGCGAGTTAGCTGGGCTGGGGAGAGAGTGAGGCGGATCGCCCCCAACCTCGGGCAAAGTGTGCGCCCCCGCCCCACCATCCAGGGGCGGCGGCCCTTGATGAGCTCATGGGGGCGGG